CAGGCTTCCTGCAGATGAAAGGCTGAGCGGTGTTTGCCTGGGAATCCGCAGAGGGGGAGGGAGTTGGGAGGATGTCAAGGGCTGATCCTGGGTGCCCCAGGGGCAGATCCAGCTCTGCCATCAGTGCAGATGCTCTGTGTGATCCGTGAGACCTGGATCTTGGACACGGCGCCACTGCTCCATCCCACAATTGTTTTTAACTCTCCTTAGATCTCTCTCTGGTGCTGCTGAGGAGCCAATGTTCTGTCTGTGGAGGGGTGGCTGTCCTCACTGAGGGGGGAGTGAAAAGACCAAATTATCCTGGGTTTCTCTATTCAACACTGTGGTCTTGGCTGTGCCACAGACTCTCCTGGCAACCAGGGCCAAGGAAGGTTTTGTCTGCTGTGAGATCCTGGCTGGTTTTGCCTGTGCTCTGGCCCATCCCCAGTGCTGGACTGTGCTCTGTGGGATGTGGGGACCATGCAGAGAGGCTGGGAGAGGAAAGAGACACAGAGCCCTGCAGTGCCAGCCCCTCCTGGATGTGCTGGGCAGTGTTGTGACGCAGAGCCCACGCAGAGCAGGGCACTGAGCCCATCCCACGCAACACAGCTCAGAATCACAGGATCAATTAGGTTGGAAAAGATCTCTGAGATCACAAAGTCCAATTGTGGCCAGACACCACTGTGTTAACTGGCCCACAACCCCAAGTCTTTCCTTAAATACTTCAAGGGGTGGTGACTCCACCATTTCCCAGGGAAACTTGTTCCAAAGTCCAATCTTCCTGTGAAGAAATTCTTCCTAATGTCCAACCTTATGCCCTTGTGTAGCTCAAGACTGTGTCCTCTTGCCCTGTCACCAGCTGCCTGCGAGGCAAGCCCTATTGCTACCTGGCTCCAAACTCCTTTCACAGAGATAAGGTCCCCCCTGAACCTCCTTTTCTCCTGGCTCAGCTCCCTCAACCACTCCTCATCAGATTTGTCCTCCAGCCCCGTTGCTGGACACATTCCAGCAGCCCAATGCCCTCCTTGAGATGAGTGACCCAGAGCGGCACGCAGCGCCCAGGACTTGGGGACAGCTCGGGGCAAACGCGGGGACAACGAGCGATCCACGTGGCGGGCAACGCCCCGCCCACTTCCGCATAACCACGCCTACCTCATGCATAACCACGCCCACCTCAGTATAACCCGGCCTGCTTCATTCATAACTCCGCCCACCCCATGTAAAACGCGCTGTAATTTGCATATTACACAGCTCATTTGCATGACCCCGCCCAGCGGCGCTGTCCCCGCCCACGAGGCGCGGGCCGGGCGCGCAGTCGGCGGCGGCCATGGCTCCGAGCGCTCAGGCGGGCCCGGGCCGCGGGCAGGCCCCGGCCGCGGGGATCCGTCACGGCATCCGCGCCGTGCTGCTGGGCCCGCCCGGCGCCGGCAAGGGCACGCAGGTGAGGGCGATGCGGGCGGGAGCGGCCGGCGGGAGCGTCCCCGCTGCCGGCACTCAGCGTGTGACCCCCGCGTGGAGGGAGGGAGGGACGCGGGTGTCCGGCCTTGGGCTGCCCGCTGAGGGATCGCGGGGTCCGCTGTGTCTGTGTGGGCCCGGCTCTCCCTTCTGGAAGGGCTCGGTCCTATCCCGCCTCCAGGGCCCCGCTCGCCGCGGCTCTTTGTCCCCGATCCCTTTGTCCCGGATCGGACCGGGTGTCGCTGAGCTCTGGCGCTCCGTGCCGGGCCTGGCCACGTGCGGGCCGGTCAACGACAGTCCCGACAGGGGGACGAGGCCCCTCCGGCCGGGGATCCGCAGCCTCCGAGGTTCGGTCTCACCTCTGTCCTCTTCCACAGGCCCCGAAGCTGGCCGAGACCTACTGCGTGTGTCACCTGGCTACCGGCGACATGCTGCGGGCCATGGTGGCCTCGGGCTCCGAGCTGGGCAAGCGGCTCAAGGAGACGATGGATTCGGGGAAGCTGGTGGGTCCCGGGGAATGCGCTGGGAGGGGATACAGGCTGGCGGCATCTGGAATGAGAGCAGACAAAATCCAGCTCCTAATTAGGATTCTTGCATTAGTGCAGGAATGCAGATTGCAGGGTGCAGGCAGATTGCAGGGTGAAGGTAAGGATGGGGTGGGGGCTTTCCTTCCATCACCCTGCAGGAGAAGAATCCTATACAAACATCCTTCCTCTTCAAAATTACTGTTTGTCACCAGCAGCTTGTGGCCCTGGGTTGTTTTTATCTTTTAGGGGGTGCAGTCTGGCTGGTAATTTTCTGGCTCCTGAACACTGAGGTCACAGTGTATCCTTGGAGCTGCAGGATGTTACAGCCAGGCTTTGAGGCTCGTGTGTCTCTTCACTTGATACCTGAGCTCCAGGTATCACTTCAGAGGGTTCATCTGCATCCCAGCTCTTGCATAAACTCAATTTACCTGTAACTATAAGGTGAAAATGGACCTAAAGGTGTTGCTGTGGTGGGATGGGCTTTATGCTGTATGAGACACTTTGGATTTTCAAGGGACACAAGTCAGAATCTCTGACATTCATTTTCTGAGGGTCTCATTATCTCATCCTAACGACTGAAATATCTCAGGGAAACTCAAGGAGCCACAAATTGCAGTGACTTGCCCCAGTGTGGGGTAGATCTCAAGCATCCCTATGGCTGCCACGGGCTCCTAACACCCCAGGGAGAATCTGCAGGCCCCAGATGGGGAGAGCAGCCTTATCTGACTTCTGCTCAGAGCTCATTGCAACACCGAGCCTGCAATACCCAGCTGGTTATGAAAGATAGGGCCGTTATCTGGCTAGGCTGGTGGTATCTGCCACGTGTGTTTGTGTGTGGCAGGCAGCTCCAGGCTGCTCCACGGGCACATCCAGCAGCTCTGATAACTCAGCTGGGAGCACCCCAGCATTTCAGGATGGGCCTTATGCTCAGGATCTTATTTTCTCCAAAGGGTGTAATCAGGAAGGCACAGGAGTGACTTGTTGCTTACTTCTCCTACTTGCAGGGTTGCTGTTTGTGTGTTGTGACAGCCAGGTCCCCAATCCTGCTGGGTCCCAGCTGTGTGTGCTGGAGAAAACAGAGCTGCTCCCAAATAAACAGCTATTGTTGGGGCTGCAGCATCTGTGAGTGCTGCAGTGTGGAAAAGGCACTAATCCCAGTGGTATGCTGAGATTGTTAGATGGGGGAAAAAACTGTGCAGTGAAGCCAGAGCTTGTCAGCAACTCTTGGGCTTTTACCTTCAGATGAGGTTTATGGGAGTCAATGAGCAACTCTGCCCTTCCTGCCCGGGCCTGCCTCCCGACGTGGATGTGTAGGTGAAGGTACAAAGTAACAGGAAATCAAGGTTATGTTGATACTTTGTATTGTGAATTGGTTAAAAAAAAATAATAATCTAAGGAGTTTGAGCTGACAGCGTTCCTTGCAATACAGTAACCTTTGTAACAGTGTGGTTACAGTGCTGGTCCAAGTCCCTGCGTAGGCTGGAGTGTCCCTGGAGTGAAATGTGGCATTGCCCATGTCCTGATGTTGCAGGGAGTGCTGCTCTGATGAGGGCAGGTCTGAGCAGGCAGCCTGAGCATTGACATGAATTGTGGAATAGTCACAGAATATCCTGACACACAAGAATTGGAAGGGACACACCAGAACTATTGAGCCCAACCCTTGGCCCTGCGCAGGACAACTCCAAAAATCCCACCCTGTCCACATGGGCACAGCTGTGTGTAAATTCAGGGTGCCCTTCCTGACAACATACCTGTCTCATGTCTGCAGGTGAGCGATGAGATGGTGGTGGAGCTGATTGAGAACAACCTGGACTCCCCTCCCTGCAAGAACGGCTTCCTCCTGGACGGCTTCCCGCGCACAGTGAAACAGGCAGAGATGGTACGGGAGCCCCTGCTGGGGGCTGCTCCAGCTCCCCCTTCCCCCAAAACCAGGGGTCCCTGCTCCCTCAGCCCCTCTGAGGTGGGTGTTTGCTGTTGCAGCTGGATGAGCTCCTGGAGAAGAGGAAAGAGAAGCTCGACTCCGTCATTGAGTTCAGCATCCCCGACTCGCTGCTGATCCGGAGGATCACGGGACGGTAAATCCTCCTGTCCCAGTGCTCAGGGCTTGGGATTTCCTGGTCTATGGAAGAGCATCCTCATTTCAGATCCCAGGCTGTCCCCAGGTTGTCCTTCCCTTTCAGCTTAAGGCTGGTTATGCCTCCCTGGTCCCTATTTCTGCCCTATGCCTGGGCCAGCCTTAAACAGAGCACCTTCCTTGCCCATAAATCAGGAATTTCTATATAAAAATCTGAGCTCACTCTAAGTTCCTCCTTCTCCAAAGCTATTATTGCTCACTTACACAGGACACTGAGTACATTTGAGCACCAGTAAACTTCCTCCAGGGTCAGGGGTGTGTTCTCTTGCCCTGTTTTCCAGACCCCTTTCCCAGCAGAGCAGGATGTAAACCTCCCCTTCTCCATCTCCCAGCGCAGCTGCTCTTCCAAACTGAAGAGGCCCTTGGTACAGAAATAACTGGAGAGAATTTACTTACAAGTGAAAGGCTAATGGTGGTGCTGTGGCAGATGTTTCTGTGCTGATGAGTGGCAGGTTCAGGAGATCTTGTCCTGGACCAGCTGCTTTGCTGACACTTCTTTTCTGTCTCAGGCTGATTCACCCAGCGAGCGGCCGCTCGTATCACGAGGAGTTCAGACCCCCGAAAGAGCACATGAAGGACGATGTATGTGAGCTCCCAAGGCTGCAGCTTACCTTGCT